GCTGTATATGGAGCAACATTTGTCTAGTTGACTTCCTAACTCCCAATATCCCAACAGGGAATGCCTTCAGACCTTTCTAATCCCTGATAATATTGTATGGACAGGCAGGCAGGACGCTGGCTGGTGGGGGATGTTCAGCTCCTCTGACAGATTGCATATCAGAGTGAGTACAAAGATGGCTTTCGTCCATGTTAGTGGAGTGAAGCACATTTTAAGTTTAAAAGGATGTCTCCTACAGGTGTTCCCAGCTTTGCTACTCCAGGCTGAATATATACTCAACACCAACACCACAGACAGAAGTGGGAGACCTGACACCTGTGGCTGCAAGGACACGGGAGCTTCTGTTGGCTGTGGAATGCTCTAAACTAGGCAGCAGGTTCCAACCAGAGTATGTCCCAGGGTCCTGATCCCCTGATGGGGCTGGCCACGCTGATCAGTGTCTGACATTTGCCCTCTAACCTACACACTGAGGTTTCTTCTCTGGGGAAGCTCATGTACCTAAGCTCTCAGAAATATTCAGCCTGGTCCGCCAGTTCTCAGCTTTTGCTAAAATAATGAAATTCTGACATTATTTGTGTTCTGATGTGTGCTGAAGACGCACCCTGAACCTTTCATTCCTAACCAAAAAGCTTAAGCCCCTCACTTTTCTGTATTAAAACCAAACTGAAACTCTTCTCCAATCCCATAAATACAGGAGGTGGAACTTTCAAGAAAACCCCAAATCTCAAGTGATAATCTATAAGGTGATAGAAAAGAGAATGTCATGCATACAAGGGAATGTATGACCTGTACTCATTTTCAGTAGTCCCAGGTACAAACTTGGAAGAGTCCTCCATTTTTATAGCCCAGCATCAAAATGCATATTTCCTGGGTGTTATGTCATAAGTTCTTTTAAATCCAGTGTTAGAGCAAAATTTAAAATCACATTTTAAGATTAGAATTAAGTAGCATAGTAAAATTTGTTCTTGAAGGATGTGAACATGAAACAGAAGTACTGGAAATGTTAGAATTGCTCATCGCAGGAAATTCATGACATAAATTCAGCTTTCAATAATGAGTTTCCATCTCCTGGTCTGATTATGTGTCCATTGGCATCACAGAGAGCAGAGCAAAGGCAACAAATTCAATTTGCAGCAAGAGCTATAAATCAGAAATGAAGCATTGTATACTTTTGATAAAATACACTATGCAAAGACAGCAGGTTGAGCCCTGTTACTAGGCTTATCAAATGGCTTTTAGTATATCTTTGTGGGACACTTGCATGAAATTGCTTACTAAAACATTTTCGGAAAGTGAAGAGCTATTAAATTAAGGGAGGGAGGAAGTACTAAAACTCAGGACTGAATTTGTGCAATAAACTTGCTTTGAACAGGATCCACTCAACTCAGTTACTGAAGGAAAAAAGCCAGACAGCATTTGAAAAGTCCCAACTCTTTAGTCTTGAATTCATCTGATGCTGCTTAATCAGGGACAGCTTCTCTTACTTATCACCTGAATATTTTTAGTTCTTATATGTTGGTTTTATTTAAGGTCTCATACTACATTTCACATTGGTTTGAGGTTACAGCAATGATCCTGAAAAGCGTCTGTAGGGCTTTTGTTGTTGTTGTTGCTGTTGTTGTTGTTACAAGCCTATTTATTTCTTAGCATAGACGAGGATACTGGGACCAGTTCATAGCATCATTTTCTACAATATGTGGTTTTTTAGACTTCTCATATAAATAGAATACAAGTCTGTTTTACGTAAAATCCCTTTCAGTGTCAGGTTCCTGTATCACAAAGGTCCTCAAAAACTCATGCTCTAAAAATTACATTTCTGTCGACAAAGGCTATTAGTGCGCAACTGTCTATTCTTTCCTAAGTGACATCAGTGTGTTTATGCCACGCAGTTGTGTTATATCCTTTCCTTGAAATGTGTTTTTTCAAAATAGAAGTCACCTGTTTAGAGTTTCTTTATGTTGACCAACAAATTAGAATGAGCTTATATAATATTTGCTTAACACTTGTTACTTTTCCCCGGTTTCAGTCCAAACAATCATGCTAAAATTCAGTCTGTAATGCCAATCTACAAAGTTCCCAGCCAGGTCTCTGGGCCATCTCTGGTGCCTTTCACCTAGGCAGGGATGCGAGGTAGTTCTCATGCCCAGATTCTCCTGACACAAAGGTTGTTTATGAATGTCTGCCACTGCTCAGGACATAGAATGGAGTGTAGGGAAGCGGAGAGTCTACACAGATACCTACTCACTGGGCATTGGCAGGGCTTTGTACACATATATCAGCAAACAGCCTAAGTTTGATTGCCCTTGAACACACTCTGAGGCAAGGCTGTGGGAGGAAAAATAGACTGAAAATATGTTCTTAATCTCAGGGTATTTGGCACTTGCCTGAAGATATTGGCTAATGTTACAATTTAGGATGGTTCTCCCCTCTACTCTTGAAAGGTGCAATTAGGTGAGATAACTGAGCTGAGCCAGCAGCTTACTGTTTCTGAGCAAAAGGCTATGATTAGCTGAAGACCTTGTCCTATATCTGTCAATAAAAGCAATGACAACTATAGGGTATTTCTTTGAAATTTATCTTGGTTTTCCTTCATTTGCTCTCTTGTGTTTGTGTTTAGTATGCTGGCCTTGAAGGTGATGCTGATGAGTACAGGGTCAGAGGAAGAGATATCAGCTTTCCTGTGCAGAGGAGCACTTTTAGCATTTGCGATGGGGGTTACTTCTTAAAGCAAATCTTCTCCAGTAATAACACCCTACTAGTTAATACACAATAAAGTAATAGTAATAAAGTAATAACACCCCGGTAGTTAATAGACATACACCTCCAGTGGCTAGGTATGTCTCTTAACGCACCATTAGCAGTTCAGTAAGTCAGCTTGGGGTTTCTGCACAAGCATGAAGCCTGCAGGGTGTTTCCCACAGACTATGTGCAGATGACAGCAGGTCAGCGGCCAAGCTGGTAACCCAGCCTGATGAAATTATTGCTCTGCTCTGAGTATGCTGTGCCTACAGCCCCAATTCCCAGACACTGTTGGGAAACACAGTCCTTAAAATTTGGTTTCTCTAGAGGGCTTTCTACAGCCTGCTACAAAACTGGAACTCCAATCTTGCCTGTTGTTTCTTGGCTTTCTTGGTTTGTTTCTTTTATTGTGTGCCCTCCCTCTTGCCCCCCAGGGACACAACCCTCCTTCTGTGTAATCCCCTAGTTATTAGAAATCTCATCCAGCAAGTGCAAAATGGAGGTTTGAGTCCCTCTTTTAACCCCATTTTTCTGTATGTCAAAACAGTGCTCTACATGCTAGACTATCATCAGTCTGTGGTGCTCCTGTTGATGGCAGGGCACTGTATACAAAGGAGCAGAAGATTTGTGGGAGAACGCACACGAGGGTCCCCAGTCCAGCCCTCTCACCCTGCTTGAACACTGGCAGCATATAGCAGGGAGATCTTGGTTCTAGTCTTGCCAGCAAGTCTTCCTTGCAAAATGCATAACCTGTCCTCTCTGCATAAGCCACTCCAAGCTGTTGTGCTAAGACTTAATGATTTGTCAAGTTAGCTTTAACAGAAGATAATAAGCCACATTTCTATATACAGAGAAATAACTTTAGGGTTAAAATAAGCCCAGGCAGTGCTTTGAGTTAGGAAATCTGGTTTCACAGAGGTGCCAATTTCAAGGCAACAGGAAGAGCCTTAGTGCGAGTCTCTCTCTTTGGCATTTGCTGTTGGATGTTTTTTGTCCTGGAACAGTCAACATACTGGATGTGAGGAATTATTTTCTGCACCCACACAGCTTTTCTGTCAAATGAAACAGGTATTTATACACCTAATTTTTTTTTTTTTTTTAACATCAGTTCTGTATTTACGCACTTATTTCCTGGGATAAGTGCTTAGCTTTATAACATTGACAATCTTTTGAGAACTTGGTTGCTGAGTTGAGAGACCCATATATATGAAATGGAGATAATAATTCAACAGTTAAACATAAAAGGGAATAATTTAAAAGCTATGATGTAGTCTTGTATTACTATGATCTGTATAAGGACTACAAATTGTTTTAAGTTCAGGACACAGACATGAATGACCTTATGTAGGAGAAAAGCAAGTAGACAAGCAGACAAAAAAAAACCCACCCCAAAACCCAGCAAAAACATAAAAGCCCCCCCAAATTATTACTAGCTTTTATTTCATATATAGCATATAAACATGGGCAGATCCTTTCTTCACAATCTTGCCACCAATAAATAAAAACACAAGGCAATATTTTAATTTCAAAGTGATTCGAGCATTGCAGTTTGGACTTCCTTTCTCCTAAGTAGAGCTTAATGAACATGAGTATCTGTCAAAAGAAGGGAGCTTCCATACAAATACGTAGAAAGTGTTCCTGTGCTCCTCTACATCTATTCCCTAAACTGGCAACAATTAGTACAAGCAACAGACTGAGAATTTTCTGGCTAAGAAAACGATGCTTAACACCAGTAACTTGTCCCCAGGTTAAATGCTGCAGTTCTTTTACAAACATGCATGTCATATGCAGACCTACAGGTAGAGAGTTGTCCAACACACTGGAAATCATGGGCTGGAAAAGATGATAACCCAATGCTGCTGGGTGTTATGTGTAGGGGAGGCCAAATCACAGGCAGATTTAGATATTAAAAAGTCTGCAGGAGATTGTTCAGTTTCACCCATCATGTTCCAATCCAGACAAAACAGTGGAAAATGAAACAGTGCCCAGGACATTTTTGTTCTCTTGTGATACAAGTCATGCAGAACTGAAATCTCTCAGATGAGGTTTACAGTCTCCTTGTTGCCAGAACTGCACTGCTGGTGGCACCTGATCTGACTACTTCAGGACTACCCCTGGTATGTCTACATGAGCTAGCAGCTCCAGTTTGACTGTAGTGGAGATGGAGCCCAAATATTGATTTGTGAAAGTATGTGATCTTGCAGTATGAATGCACAAACTTCCTAGCTTGACGCATCTTCTTTGGATTGTTTCATCCTTATTCAAATGCAACCAGCACATGCAGCATTGGCACAGATTTCACACAAATCACCTTGGACAGCCTGGTCTGTTAGAGAGAAAAGAGGGGATTTCAATGAAATGGCAAGAGAATTTCTTGGAAAGCAGAGCCACATATCAAGAGATATGGAGACTCCTTTCCATTACTGTTTTAAGAGTTTTAATGTTCCTTGAAGTTATTACCGGTATAAGTAAAATTAGTTCTTGCAGAAATCTGGCTTAAAGAATGAAATCAAACCTGAATTAATTGGAGAAGCAATGGGAACATGTAGATGCAAGAAAACAATAGGACATCTTGTGGGAAGTGGGGATGTGGCTTGTAGAATCACAACATTGATTATATAGGTAGTATTTCTTCCTATAGTGTCCATTGTATTGGATAGTAGATAAATGCAACATAATAAAATTAAAAAGCAGACACTGTAGCAGCCTGTTCAAGAATCACTATATGTATCTTAGAGATAGATCATGCCAAAGAGTGATTCTCCTCACTTACATCTCCCAGCTCTTTTAAGCTACCTGGAAAAACACTTTCTTTACACTGATTAGAGAGAGCAATGAGACCAGCTCACAACTTGTAGTTAGCTAGAAGTGAGTGATATAACCCTGCTTTTCCTGTAAACCAGAGGAGATCGTGGGCTTTCTCACTTTAAGTCATGTAAGTTAGTGTGCAACTACTTGGAGGAAGCTTTTTCATTGTTACAGCAGCCTGATCTGTACAGGC